GGTTGCTCCCGGAGAAGGCCGGAGACCTGGAAGCGCTGAGAGCGCCTGTCTGGAACCTGCTGGCGCCGGGCGGGTGGGGCTGGAGGGGTCCTAGGAAGGGGCTCTAGCTGAGAAAGAGGAGGCCTGACGAGGCCGGGGCGGGGCAGGGCCCACCAGCCACCGAGGGCTGGACACCGCCTACGGGCCTTGGGGAGGGGGCGTTTGAAGCTGCTAGTGCTGGTGCGTCTGGCCTCTAGGGGTCTGATTTCCAGAGAAAGAGGGGCTCTAGGAGGACTGGAGTGATTGGTGTCACTCCAGAAGGGCTTGGAAGTTTGGGAAGGGTGGAGGTGGGAATAAGTTGGGGTCACAGAAGAGGAACCTTGTTCTTTGGCTGTGTCAGTGCTTAATCAATCGCCGTCTGGAGGCCCAGCTCGGTTTAATAGTGAAAATGATAACTTTTTAAGAGTTAGCTTCTCAAGGCACTCTGCTGAGTATTTTAAATGCACGATCTCGTTTAATTACAAAGACGCATTCAAATTTAGATATTCTCATTTTGAATACGATGAAAGCCTTCGAGGACGAGGTCACTCTGCAAATCTTTATCATCTTGCTACATGCCTCTGATCAGGCCGCATTTAAGGTTCTTTGCATTCTTTTGGAATAGTCGAGGTTTTATTTAGGATTTCTTGAAGGAAACTACTACCCTCTGGAGGTGTCTAAGGAACTACTTTTGAATTTGAGCAGGACCTTACCCTCGGGGTTAATGGAGCCAGAGATTTAGTCACTGAGCCTAGATCCTAGTGCAGGAAGCAAGGTTTTTAAAACTGTGTTCTTGGTCCTATCAGTTTATCTCCAGTACTCAGAAAAGTGTTCCAGGTGGAAGATAGGCAAATTAGTGGTTCAGTGTTTTCTGGATTTACGAGGGGGCGGGGCAAGGACAGTTAGAAGAAAATGCACTGTGGATCCTATCAGCTGTTAGTCTAAGAACTAGTTGTTCATACTGATCTCTATAGAGAAAAAGATGTGTAAATAAGATTTATCCTCCGAGGAAAAGTTTTCCTGCACACTTTTGTGGTACTGTGTTTATTCTGCAGGGATGAATGTGCATATGGGAGGGACAGCCTTAGGAAAGAAGCATTAGTTCCTCCCCATGGGAAATTTATAATGAATGGGAAACAGCAAAAGTGGATTTGCAGGCAAACATGGCAGATAAAGAGTATAAAGTGACTGGAGTTTTCGGGTCTATTAGAACTGAGTGCCTGTCAAAAAAACAACTATTTTGTATATTTGATGTTGAAATTTTCTCTTAATTAAGAGTAAGTCTGATATGGGGAGTTACTTTTAGCTACATAAAGAAGGTCGAATGTGCAAGTGTGACTTAAGAACTCCTTTTTTCAAGTCCCTTATCAGAAACTTGTTACTCTTCATCTTTTGTTCAAGGTACAAAAACAGTTGATTAAATACCTTTTGTTTGTCAGGCATTATTCTAGGTGGTACTGGGAGTAGATAATGCCATCTCACTGAAGCTAAGTACTGGCCCCTGTGTATGTTATTGTTTTACACATCCTATAGGTAAGACAAGACAGCAAATACGTTGAAAGATTTTTACTTTTAGGCTGTCAGTACAAACAAAGTGGAGTATTTACCATCTTGTTGAAGTAATTATACTTCAGAAGTAATTATACTTGGTAGGTATTTAGTAAATAATATCTAAATGCAGAGGACAAGTTTGGCTACAGGGAAGACCTGGTTTTATGGAAGTTTCAGTTCATCATAGTCTTCATGAGAAGTTCATTGTGAAATTGATAACATAGAAAGCTAACTTTTTATCTGCATCAAGACTAGTGTGGCATTCAGATTGTGGAACACAATTCACTTTGTTCTTCACTGACCGTGGAGTGTTATATTTAGTTTTAATGCCCCATTTCATTAAAGAATTATTAATAAAATCATTCTGGCCAGAAGATGAAAGAGTCAAGAGTATTTATTTAAGGAATTGTTAGATGAGAGGACTAGGGTATTTATTAGACATTTTTACACACTATTCCTGATACAGGATTCACGAAAACTTTTTCACGTTATTTGGAGGGTTATATGTTGAGGCACAGTGAGTGCTTTTACACATGCACAAAATTGGAGAGAAATTGATAGTGTTAAATAAATCTAAGAGAAGGAAACTGAGCTGCTCATAGTAAAGCAGGATGTTGAACCCCAAATGTGGCCAGAAGGAGGGAGTAGGACAATTTAAGGAGCCTTATGAGATTTGCTTGGAGCAGCAGAAATTGCTACTGGAAATACTCAGTGATCATAGATTTACCCAGGATGTCTTGGAATTGATGTGACATTTAACCCATTATTTGATCCTGAGTACATACATTATTATGCAATAATAATACAGATTACTGGAGGCCTTGGAAGATATTTTGAATTTCTGATTACAGAGTTATAATGGCGTGAAATAAGGTGAAGGTAAAACCCAAGCAGTGAGAAAATTATGTAGCAGACTAGTATTTAATGGGTACTTGTTTTATTTCTTAATGTATGAAATCTCACTCATCCTTTCTCTTTAAGTTCCCAAAATAGAGTGAAATTAGAAAAAGAACTCATGAGATCTTATTTTAGATAGAAAATTTGAGCCTGTTTATGTTCACACATGCTTTTTGTAGTTACCATTAAAATTGTAGGCTAATAGAATTTTGATACCAGTAATTATTTTCCCTCATTTAACCAAACAACTATGTCTGAAGCACTCTTCTAGACAGTGGGAATACAGAAATTTTGTTTCTACTTTCTAGTAATAAGGATGCTAAAAATTTTATAAATTTTAATATCTAATATCATTAAGTCCTTTAAAGAAAAATGAAATAAGCTACAAAGATATTGAAGGGGGACCAATTTTAAATTTTTGGTGTAGAAGGGATAAATAAGGGGAAAAAAGTAGGAAAGAATTAAGAAATGAGGTTAAGTACTTGGTCAGGGACCAAAGGGTAGATCATGATCTTGTAGGATTTACTTGATGAGATGGAGATCTATTGGGAAGTTTTAAGCACATTGACTTCAGATTAGAAGTGGACAGAAAGAAAAAAGAGCAGACCAGTTAAAGAGTGTCTAGCAGTAATTTAAAACATAAGGTGATGGTGGTTTAGATAAAATTGGTAGCACTGAAGGTATTGAAGTGTTGGATTTCAGAGATATTTTAAAAGTATTAGCAGTCAGATTTATAAGGTCTTAGAGAGAAGTAGGAACCCAGGACTTTTGTTCTTGCCTGCCCCTTGCCTCCTTTTTATGGTAATTGAGTGGCCATTTTATTTAATGAGATATCCATTCAGTTAGCACAGTTCTTTTAGGAATAGACTGAAGGAAGGAATTTATCAGTAATATATGGGAAAAACTCTTAAGGGAAGTAGGTAGATTTTGGGTGGAATATCAGGAATTTGTATACATGTCAAGTTAGGACATGTCAAGGTAATAATGTTAGTTAAATTTGTGGATAAAACAATAGACAAAACAGACACACATGTTTTTTAACTACAAAATTTTAACATGAATATGGTAACACTTGGACAGTGAATCACTTTTTAAGGACAGAATTTCTTACATTCTAATAATAGTTCTATTTTCAACTTTTAAGACACTTCCTTTTTGTTTAATCATCAAAATCATTTTTATCAGTCTTTCTCTAGAGTTGTCTATATAGAACATCCTGGAGTCTACCATGAATGGACAGTTGGACCTAAGTGGGAAGCTAATTATCAAAGCTCAACTTGGGGAGGATATTCGACGAATTCCCATACATAATGAAGATATTACTTACGATGAATTAGTATTAATGATGCAACGAGTTTTCAGAGGAAAACTTCTCAGTAACGATGAAGTTACAATAAAGTATAAAGACGAAGGTAAGATTCTTGTAGTTTTTAAAATATTTATTCATTTGCCTTTTTTTTCTGGACTCTCTTGCTACTCCTTTATGGTACTTGAGTCATCATGGGATGTCCATATAGTTGGTACAATTCTTTTATAAATTAACAGTAGCTAATTCTAGTATTACTAGAAGGTTATATGTTAGAATACCTTCGTATTTTTCTCCCCTGTCCAAACAATTCAGGCTTACTTTCTTTTTTAAAAAACCAAATATTCATTTGTATTTCCCATAACAAAAGGGATGTCAGTACCAGTATGATTAAATGAAAAAAGATTATGTGATCAACAAAGTAAGGGAAAACTGGTTTAAATAAAGACAGTATCTTTTTTGTAGAAATTTTCACACCATAGCATGATGTTGCACATTGTCAGTTTGTATAGTGCAGTGTTCCCAGACTCATTTGGCCATGAAACTATTTTTATGGAGATGAATTTTATATGACAGTTTCATCCAGCATGCAATGGAATTATAATAGATTATATTCGTTTTCTATTAAGCCAGCTTTTTTTTGTTAATGTCTCTACTAAAATTTGCTTTTTGGGTGAATACCAGTCTCTTTTTTATTGCTGAACTTATATATGCAGTCTACTCTTCTTTGGCTCTGCAT